CGACCGACTAACTAAAACCACCCCCGACTTAAATTATTTTATTGCACTTTTCCGCGATCTTTTTATTTTATTTTGTGTGTCAACCTGAAATATATCACGAGAGTTATTTCCCTTTACTATGGCTATGGTTTGATTCATTATTGAAACTGGTTGATCAAGACGAAAGCGTCATAGGTGTCGCTTCTCAACAAAATGGTTGCAGACGAAAGCACGTCCATTCCCACGAAATGATTCTGCCTCTATGTCTGTGGGGCGTCGTTTTAAACATGACGACGATATTTTCAATATCCGTTTTCGAGAAAAATGAAGGCACAACCCGCACGATCGTTAAAAACGTGTTGAGGGAGTTTCAAACGTGAGTTTGTCGCAATTTGTGTGCGAGTCGTGCATCAAGAAAAATCCTGATGTCATTGATTTGTTTGCCAATAAAATAAGACGAATGTTTGCATCCAGAAAATTATCAAGCTGTCAAATTAGCTCTTAAAAAAAAAAAATCTGAAAAAAACCCGACCTACCGACCCTTCTCCTCGATTGTCGGTCGGGTTTGGTGAAACAAAGATATTTTTAAGGTCAGCCCTATATAAAATGAAATGAAATGAAATGGGGTTTAACGTCCTACTGTTCTGCTCCTAACCTGGGCTAATGAAGACGGGCATACGCCATACAGTGTGCTATGAGGGAAATTTTGCCCGGGCAGCGGCGCTATGGCCTACTCTTATATCGAATTCCAACTGCCAAGGGATCTTTTACGTGCACGCCAATGTGTACACGGGACCTCGGTTTTTCGTCCCATCCGAACGACTAGACTACTGTCCTTGTCAGGCCCTCCGTCCTGCATAACTGACAAGGGGAAACCACGCCGGAAAATCGGGATGAACTTTCTCGGCCAATGCAGGGATCGAACACCCGACCTCCAGGCTAGCGAGCCAGCGCCTTACCCACTTAGCCACGTGATCCCCAGATACTATATAAATACTAGAGAAGCCTAGTCAAAACATCGCTCAGTAATAAACAGTAAATATATACCATAGAATTATATCGCATGTATTTCCAGCTCATGAAACAATTTTCCTGAAATGTCTAAATTACTATACGCAATTGAAACAGTTTACTAGATATCATTGAAAAAGATTACTAAATACCATTGAAACAATTTACTAAATATCATTGAAACAATCTACTATACACAATTGAAACAGTTTAATAAATACCATTGAAACAGTTTACTAAAAACCATTGAAACAGTTTATTAAAAACCAATGAAACAGAAAACCATTGAAACAGTTTACTAAAAACCATTGAAACAGTTTACTAAAAACCATTGAAACAGTTTACTAAATACCATTGAAACAATTTACTAAATACCATTGAAACAATCTACTATACACAATTGAAACAGTTTACTAAATACCATTGAAACAGTTTACTAAAAACCATTGAAACAGTTTATTAAAAACCAATGAAACAGAAAACCATTGAAACAGTTTACTAAAAACCATTGAAACAGTTTACTAAATGCCACTGAAACAGTTCACTAAATGTCATTGAAACAGTTTACTAAAAACCATTGAAACAATTTACCTGAAATATTGTCATCTCTAAATTGAACACTTTTCCTCGTGTTATTTTGATCATCATCATCTCTAGTTGGTGTAAGACCAATTAAAGGTCTGGCCAAGCTGCTTGCTCGCTTCTTACGACTGGGTGTAGATCCTGATTCATTAGCTTGTGGAAGATTTAATACTAATGCTACCTGAAACACTGGTCTGATAACTTCTTTTACGATTCCTCTGTGACGAATCTCTTCCAATATCTACAAAAAAACGACAAACGAGTGTACAGATTTATTGTCCTGAAAAAGCAGACTGTATGGTGTATGCCCATCTTCATTAGTCCAGTCGAAGCAGAACAGTAGGACATTAAAACCCACCGTATTTCAACATAAATAAGATCTAACTATTTATTGACGGTTATATTGTCCAACTGACATCTGTTCAGTTGAGTTCATCTGCTCACCAGTGTACAGATTAATTGTCCTAAAAAAGCACAATGCATGGTATAGCCTATCATTATTAGCCCAGAAGGAGCAGAACAGTAGTATGTTAAACCCCATTTCATTTCATTTATTTTTCAAATCTAAACTTTTACCTTTCGTATTATATCATTAAAAAGATATTTTTAGCCTATTTTAACACTTTTGTTTATATCCTATAAGACCTGTGACTTCTGATTCATTTGTTTATATCCTATAAGACCTGTGACTTCTGATTCATTTGTTTATATCCTATAAGACTTCTGACTCATTTTGTTTATATCCTATAAGACGTGTGGCTTTTGACTCATTTTATTTATATCCTATAAGACTTGTGACTTCTGACTCATTTTGTTTATACCCTATAAGTGTTGTGACTTCTGACACATTTTGTTTATACCCTATAAGAGTTGTGACTTCTGATTCATTTGTTTATATCCTATAAGACCTGCGACTTCTGACTCATTTTGTTACCACAGGCCAAATATACATGTAATATTGACAAAATTTATTTTTGATCCAAGAGGTCTATTGTTGGTTAATCTTGACACTGGCTGTATCGATATACATTTAAATATGGAACAAAGTCATACCATAGGACAAATCAAGATATACAATCGACAAATATCATTTTGGTTCCAAGAGATATTGTCATTTTAATAAAGGGGGTCACGGTGGCTAAGTGGGTAAGATGCTACCTCACTAGCCTGGAGGTCCGGTGTTTGATCCCTGCATTGCTGGCTTAGTTCCCCTTGTCAGCGATGCAGGACGGAGGGCCTGACAAGGACAGCTGTCTAGTCGTTCGGTTGGGACGGAAAACTGAGGTCCCATGTACACATTGGCGTGCACGTAAAAGATCCCTTGACAGTTGGAATTTGATATAAGAGTAGGCTGTAGTGCCACTGTCCGGGCACAATTTCCCTCATGGCACACTGTACGGCATATGCCCATCTTCATTATAGCCCAGTTCGGGGCAGAACAGTAGGACGTTAAACCCCATTTCATCTCATTTCATTTCATTTTGATAAAAGCTTACCTCATCTGGATCAATTGGTTCAACAATTTCTTCTAGTTGATCAAAATCATATTTTGGCACAACATAACCTGTAGCACTAGACACCTGACTGTTTGAACCACTTAACTCTCTAGAAATCATAAGAAAAAACACTTGATAACAGAATAAAAAAACCCACATGATAACAGAATAAAAAAACCCACATGATAACAGAATTAAAAATAACACACGATAACAGAATTAAAAAAAAAACCATATTAAACAGAATTAAAAAAAAACATAAACATATAACAGAATTAAAAAAAACCCACATGATAACAGAATTAAAAATAGCACATGATAACAGAATAAAAAAAACCACATAATAAAAAAAACACATGATAACAGAATAAAAAAAACCCCACATGATAACAGAATTAAAAATAACAAATGATAACAGAATAAAAAAAAAACCATATAATAAAAAAAACCCACATGATAACAGAATAAAAAAAACACATAACAGAATTTAAAAAAAAACACATGGTAACAGAATAAGTTGGAAACTTAAAGCACAATATTGGTGTCAATCATTATCTCATATGTAATAGAACTGGTTAACACGTTCCAAATATAATTTGAACACAGAGATCATTACTACGATAGATGTTTTATGAAGATTTCAAGAAAGGGAGGTGACGAACGCAAAAGGAAAACACAAGTTATCCTTCTATATAACTGACTGAAGTGACGAGTGATAATAGATACACAGGCGAATTTCTGCTCACTAATAATTCCTTCGAAGTTGTTATATGAGACTGTGGGAGGATATGTGACAATTTAAAAAAATAATTGACTGTCACTAGATAAGAGAAAATAAAAAAAGTCTGTGCATTACCATGTTTTTATTAGGGCTGCAACGATTCATCAATGAAACGATGAACCACATTGTTTTAAAAATCCACGATGCACGATACAATAAATGTCTGTATTGCGTTTCGTTATCCAAATAATAATTTCATAAAAATAGATTCATATTCCTTTAAATTAAGGCGTTTTCGACACATGAAGTGCCTTATTATAACTATTTCGTCAAGATTAAAATATCAGTCTGGTTATCCAATCAAGCTGGAAATTAAGTTGCTTTCAATGAAATCTGTTCAGTTGACCAATCGCGAGAAAACACCACATTTAAAGTAAATCCTAAAACTAAAAGTAGAAATTCGAATTTTCCCAGTGAAAGACTGTCATAATTTAACAGCATTTTTTAAATTTATTTCCTATATCGCGATTAATTTCCTATATCGCGATTAATTTGTATCGTAGACTATGAATTGTGATGCGCATATCGTGGCCTGGCATATCGTTGCAGCCCTAGTTTTTATTAAGTATAGAATAAATAATAAACATCGAACAATACTTTGGGTTATTGGAAAATATTCTAACATAAAATAAACAGAATCTAAAATGACTAGAATGGAATATGCTTAGGCGTATTAGACCTACAAGTAAAAATAACTGTATAAACATGTACCTGTTATTTTGTGGTTTATAGGGTCTATATGAATGAGTTTATATACAAGTACCTGTTATTTTGGTGTTTATAGGGTCTATATGAATGAGTTTATATACAAGTACCTGTTATTTTGGTGTTTATAGGGTCTATATGAATGAGTTTATATACAAGTACCTGTTATTTTGGTGTTTATAGGGTCTATATGAATGAGTTTATATACAAGTACCTGTTATTTTGGTGTTTATAGGGTCTATATGAATGAGTTTATATACAAGTACCTGTTATTTTGGTGTTTATAGGGTCTATATGAATGAGTTTATATACAAGTACCTGTTATTTTGGTGTTTATAGGGTCTATATGAATGAGTTTATATACAAGTACCTGTTATTTTGTGGTTTATAGGGTCTATATGAATGTATTTATATACAAGTACCTGTTATTTTGGTGTTTATATGGTCTATATGAATGAGTTTATATACAAGTACCTGTTATTTTGGGGTTTATATGGTCTATATGAATAAGAACTTCTGTTTGATAATGATGAATCAGATCCCGCTACAGATCCCTGTAATAAGATAAAACATATATATATTAAACATACATTATGCAAGAGCTAAATCTGCTAATTGCAGGTCTTTCTTTATACCTGAAATGTTTTCTAAATTATCGGATTACTCCGATATTAAATAGATTAGAACAGTTCAGCCATATTTTGATTAAGCTAAAAATGGAGGACTGAAACTTAGCTTCGAACAACCAGTACGGTGGTTGAAATTATTGCACACGTCTTGTCAAACCTTCAAAAGGCTAATAGTAATATCTTCGCTCACGATAGAGTAATTTAAATGAAATTTTCAATTTATTCATTTTACATCATCTATTTTCGAACTATCATAGCACGATTGGCTAGGTTTTTATCTAAATCTTACATAATGTATCTTTAATATCAGTGACATTTATATAATGCAAATCAAATGGCAACAGTTGAAAGCTTTCCACAGTGTTTTTTCATTGTACAAAGTATTTTGATGTATAGAGATAAATTGGGGTTTAACTTCCACTCTAAACAAACTAGGTCATTTTGGGACTAACATATGGTTCAAGTTTATATCAATAATTTGCTTGCACATAAGGGTCTTTAGAAGTGGGAGGAAACTGGAGGACCAAGAGAAAAACGTTACTCTCGGACACATACAAGCTTGGAACACGGGTCTTATGATCTAAAGCAAATGGCTTAGACCAATCGACCACCCATCCAACCAACATATCTCAGAGCCGGATATTATTTAAACTATTTTAAATGTATTTTTAATTCTATTAAAAATTAAACAAAAAAAGTTTACCACTTCATCAGGTTGGTCCTCGTCGTCATGTGCATGATACGAAACAACAAACTGATCCAATAATTGTTTTACAGCAGATTTGACCAAACATCGCAATAAATCCATCAGTAGATAATCCACCGATTGCAAAAACGATGCCATTCTCGCTAAAATCTTCCGCCATTTTGCTATTTCTGCATACAAAGGTTTGTCTTCTGAAAAAAAGAGGAAATGAAAATGACAACGGGGGACCAAGGCGGAAAATCCTGATGTATTTTCTCAGCTGATGCAGGGATCGAACACAGGACCTTCAGGTTAATGAGTCAACGTCATGCTCACTGAGCCACCGTGGCTCAAGGAAATGAAAGAGAAAGTGACAAGGTGTAAAAACAATTTTCTCACTTTTCAGTATTTCTACAGATAGTGGAAATGAAAGGAAATAGAATGGGGTTACACGTCCTACAGTTCTGCTCCAACTGGACTAATGAAGATGGGCATAGACCATACAGTGTAATATGAGGCAAATGTTCCCTGGACAGCGGTGCTATGGCCTACTCTTACATAAAATTCCAACTGCCAAGGGATCTTTTACATGAATGCCAATGTGTACACAGCACCTTGTTTTTTTTGTCCTATCCGAATGACTAGACAGCTGCCCCCGTCTTGCACCACTGAACTTTCTCGGCCGACATCTGGAGCTATCGCGCGATCTTCAGGTTAGCGATCTCAAGGCTAGCGAACAAGCATCTTACTCATTTAGCCACCGTGACTCCCTGGGGCTTAATGCCATGCGGTGTGCTATGAGGGAAAGTTTACCCTGTCAACAGCCTGCTACATCATCTGATTCAAATACAGATCTTTATTTCGTTTCGTTCTTTTTATACTTTCAATGTCTCTACTACACGATGATCTGACCGGTTGTAATGAAAGGTCACGTCAGGGGTCATAGGAGCGGCTTTTGACCCCATGACGTCAGACATTTGATTGACCAATCAGAATTGAGTGTTTCTAGTGGGATACCCACAGTTCCGAGCATCTTACGCCAATAACTCGCCGTAACAGATCGTTTCATTGACTAATCCCTAAAATCATCCAGAATGCAGGTAATATAACAACTCTTCCAGATAAATAGTGTAGTAAAGACAATTAAAACGAAATTTTGAACTGTAAAAAACAAAACAAAAAAAGATCTGTGTTTTAAACAGATTGTACTATTTAAACATACAAACTCACTGCAACAGACAGTTTCATTGGCTAATCCCTCACATCATCCAGAATGCGGGTTATATAACAAGTCTTCCAGATAATAGTGTAGTAAAGACAAGTAAAACGAAATATTGAACTATAAAAAACGAAACGAAATAGGATCTGTGTTTTAATCAAATTGGTAAAATTATGATTGAAAAGCCTGCACAGACCCAATAAAGCAGGGCTGTATCTAGCCCAGAGTAACGAGAGGGGAGGTGGGAAGTGTTCTCAAGGGGTGCTGTAAAATTGACGGACAATGTATATCTATTGTTTTTATGGTCGACAATTTTTTCACAAGGGGGGGGGGGGGAATTGGGGGGGGCCCTGCAATAAAGACTTACTATTTACTCCTGATTTCTTGGGGTCAATAACAGGATCTTTTCCCAGATTTAATCTCAGTCTATATTTAGAATTACGTAAATAATAGATGGCCGATGACGTGACGAACGGATCTTCTATTCTCACTCTCTTCTCACTCGTTGGTCGAATTCCGGTCTGTACACCTTCCATTTCTGCTACTGCCTGAAATAAGACCAACATGTACATTTACAAAGACAGTGAAATTATTAAGAACATTATGACAGACTTAAAAAGCTGGGGGTGCATTATAATTGTTGACTTTTATTACTTGAAGTATTAGGTAGGCACAGCAGGTTTCTCTGGCTACACCCCTACTATCTGTCATCTGTCTCATAAATAAATGTTTTGTTCGCCATACAGTGTGCTATGAGGGGAAATTTTTCCCGGGCAGCGGCACTTTGTCCTACTCTTATATCGAATTCCAATTGCCAAGGCATCTTTTACGTGCAAGCCAATGTATACACGGGACCTCGTTTTTCATCCCATCCGAATGACTAGACCACCATCCTTGTCAGGCCCTCTGTCATGCACCACTAACAAGGGGAAACCATGCATAGGGGTTTTTAGCAGTGGGAGGAAACCGGAGGACCCGTAGAAAACCCACGAGGTTGGACAGATGACCCTACTACTTGTCACATACAACCAGGGAAGCAAAACCACGCCAGTTGACTCAATAACAGACTTTATGATACAGCGCGCATGCACTAACCATTCGGCACCGCTCAGTCAATGAACCATCAATTTTTGTTTCAATCCACATTTTAGAATACTTACAGCACATGATTGCCAGACGATATCTATGACATTCTCTCGTAGTTGATTAAGTTGAGTTAACGCTGTCGAACATTGTTGTTTCTGTATATCTTTAAAAGTTTGTAACGATAGAGTTTTTGATTTATCTAATTTGACCAGCGATATAATACTCATATCGCCCTTGTCGTTCTTACAACCTCCTCTTGCTACTTCACATAACGTCTTGACGTGCACCAAACAACCCTGTAGTATCTCATTGGCTATAAATAATGTTTTATATAACGTAACCCTGAAAGATAAAAATAGTTCGCTATTATTTAACATGCACAGCCATTATGGGAGAGGGGTAGAGAAATGGGTTCTTTTCGAGACTAACATATGGTTCAGTTCTATTTCAATAATTCATGTATTGTACTTTTCTGCAGCGACTGAGCTAATGAAGAAGGATTAAGAGAGATAGAGAAATGGGGTTTAACATCCACTTGCCTCAAACTAGGTCATCTCAGGACAAACATATATATTTACTTCGATAAATGATTTAAGAGAGAGAAATGACTGTTTTATTGGAGTACCATTGTTAAAGAGATGTTAAATCCTGCTTCTCTCTTTCTCTTTAACATCCAGTTGACACAAACCAGGTCATTTTGGGACTAACATATGGTTCAATTTTGTGATACCTTCTGACATACCATACTACTAATTACAATAAGGGTCTTATCGGCATCCAGTCGTAGCCAGGAGAGATCGTCATGGTCGTTGTCATAGAGACAATTATCAACAAAACTGTTTCAACAATGAAATGAAAATGGGGTTGAGTGTCTTACTTTTGTGCACCAAGCGGCCTCATACGGACGGATATTATGTCACACAGTGGGCTATGGGGGGGGGGGGGGGTGACAAGACAAGATTTCCAACTTTCAGGAGATCTTTAAAGCTCACCGGCAAAGCTTCATAAATTTTTTAAATAATGCAAGTAATTATGGAAAAAGCATTCATTATCACTGGGATGTTGGTTATTGTACTGTACTGGAGAACTCAGGCATCATCAAAGCATTCCATGATTCCAACTTAGTGAAGACACATATAAAAACAACAGATAGAAGAGAATTATGAAATATTTATTGTTCAAATGAGAAAAGTGAGTAACCACTTAAGATTAAGAAATTCAGCTGATATGATATATAAAACAGCAAAAAGATGTTTCAATCGATTGGATATTATTAAATTGTGAGTTGTTCCTTTTTGGTTACATAAAATTTCTGTATATAATTTTAACACCTTGAAATATAAGACAAAGAATATATACATCCCAATTTACAACATAGAAACACCATTTCCTCCAGAGGTAGATATAACAGAATAATTGTAAAAGCAACAACATTTTTAAGGACTGACCTTGTGTATTTGTATTCAGTTTCTCTTGAACTACTTAAGTGGTGGACATAGTAGCCTAATGATTCGGCCAAATCATTCAGCCGAATCAATCGTCACTGAATTGATTCGCCCGAATGAGTGGACAAACTCGGCGAATGCTTCGCCCGATTCACCAATCGTCTGAATCATCTTTCACGTGATAAGTCACATTATTAAACATGGCCGCGACCAATAAAAAGAGGAAAATAGCTGCAGCATTGTGAATTTTTAAAATTTTACGCGGTATTCGACGGTGTCGAAAAATTATACGATCTTTATAATCCGGCAGGGAGGTATCATATAGACAAACCTCCTCCTCCCATAAAGTAATAAGTTTCGATGCTTTCCTTGGAATTCAAAGTCTCGATATTAGTTGCCATTTTGTCTCCAGAAAATCATGTGACCCTTGACATCAGTGGTGATTGGCTAACGAATTCTGCAATCGGACGAATGCTTCGGCGAAACGGACACACCAGCAGAATATATCAAATATGTTTCATTCGGCCGAATGACAGTAGACACACTAGGCGAATTTCGACGTGGATTGATTCGACTGAATCATTCGGTTACGATCTTTATAATCCGGCAGGGAGGTATCATATAGACAAACCTCCTCCTCCCATAAAGTAATAAGTTTCGATGCTTTCCTCGGAATTCAAAGTCTCGATATTAGTTGCCATTTTGTCTCCAGAAAATCATGTGACCCTTGACATCAGTGGTGATTGGCTAACGAATTCTGCAATCGGACGAATGCTTCGGCGAAACGGACACACCAGCAGAATATATCAAACATGTTTCATTCGGCCGAATGACAGTAGACACACTAGGCGAATTTCGACGTGGATTGATTCGACTGAATCATTCGGTTAGTGTGTTCACCGCTTTACAGATTGACACAAGGTTGTTGTTATTTTGTTGCATATTCTGTATATATTTGCCTACTATTCATATACCTGTATCATTTGCTTGATAATGATGAGAGTATCCTCGTCGAAACGTCGCTTAGTATTAAACTCAGTAATTGTGTATCCATAAAATTGTAACTTGTGTTAATTTGTTCAATTACTAAATGCCAATTAAAGAAGATACTTACAGATTGTTGATCAGTTTGACATGCGTAAATTTATAACATCTGAACAATCAGATTAAAATACAGATCTATATTTTGTTTCGTTTTTCTATTCTTTGAATGGCCTCTACAACATAAAGACCTGATAGGTTGTAAGGGGAGGTCACATCAGAAGTACGTTATACGAGCAGCTTTCGACCCTATGACGTCTGACATTGATTAATCAACCAGCGTTGACGTTTCTAGTGGTTTACCCACAGTTCCGTGCATCACACGCCAAGAACTCGTCGTAACAGACCGTTTCATTGGCTAATCACCCTCACATTAACCAAAACGCGGCTTATATAACAACTCATCCAGATCCTAGTGTTGTGAAGACAAGTAAAACGAAATTTTGAACAATAAAAAATGAAACAAAATAGGTTCTGTGTTTTAATGAGATTGACATTTGAAGTAAAACATTTAAAGTTGCAATTTCATATTTTTAAGTTATATTTTTAAAATTTATTAAAATAAAGCCTTAAAATAGATGGTATCTATAAACAGTCCTACCTTGTTAAAGAATAATCCTATTAATCCTATAATTCACTATTGCCAGCTGAGAAATTGGCAAAAATATCATTTTCCTCTTCAAATTCAAACGTTTGAAGATAACTACTCCATGGTGGAGAATAGAAAAACAAGGGAAGTAATTGGGGTAATTGTGTTATTATTTCCGGTGTGAAGATTTTTAAGTGTGAGAAAGATAGCCTATGATCGTATAATAGTGAGTTGACAACCTATTGAGCAAAAGACATATAAATAACTATGTTTTGACTTTCTTAGAAAATATGAAATTCTCGCTTTAATACAGAAGTTAAACCATATTCGTTTGAAAGACATTTAAAGCATAAGTTTGACAACAAGTGGATCTGAATCTAGATTTGAGTTTGATGAAAAGTTCTCCATCTTCTTTACGAAGTAACAAGAAAACAGGAGGGGGAATGGCAGCACTCCCTTAAAAGAGTAGCAGAGGTGGGGCAGAAATGAAATGAAATGAAATAAGAGAGAGAAATGGGGTTTAACATCCACTCAACACAAACTAGTCATATGGTTAAATCTTATTTCAATAATTCGCTTGCACGAAAGGTTTTTTAGCAATGGGAGTTCTAAGAAAAAGAACAAGATGAGTAGCACTTTGGGACCAGTTCCTGATCCAAGAACATAATAGTACTGATGTGGACATTAAACATACATTATGCAAGGGTCAAATCTGCCTATTGCAAGTCTTTAGGCTTCAGATGTTATAGAAATTATTAATTAGACCTTTTTTTACACGACAAGCTCAAAATAGTCATCCATTTAACAATTAAATCAGTAAATGGCGGACCAAGCTAATGTTTACTGTTAGTAATGACGTCACTACAGAGAATTGAGAATGTTACTTGATAATCGAGAATATGTGGTTGGGGTTATCGTCTGTCAATCAAACGATTGGCAATTCTCGTAGATGGTGCGGACACAGTTGATGCCTATTTCTAGTCCAAACTTCCAACAGTGACAACTCTGTTCTGAATTAAGTAATTTGACTGAAATTTTCAATATTTTCTTTTTTTTATCATCTATTTTTGAATGTATTTGTCAGATTTAGAACCAGCTTAAAGACAGCAGTATAAGCCTTTCTTGAAAAATTTTAACCAAAGCATCAATCACAATTCTTCTATTTTTATATCATCTTCATCTTTATCATCATTGGTTGTTTCTGGTTGAAATGTTGAGTGACACTTTTGACAAATTGGTCGAATTATTCCGTACTCTTGTCGTAGCTTTATGAGTTGTCCGTCCTTTTCGCGATACTTCCACAAAAATAAAATATTTCCTGGCGCATTTTTGTTTCCACAGAAAAAACAAGGTGTGGTATATTTGATGCTGAAAATATCTGAAATAAGCGAAAACCAAAATAATTAGAATTTATAAACTTAAAATATCTGGCCCCGAGTTCACAACACATTCTCTGACTTAAGTTAAGAATTTATAAAACTTTTGTTGTTTTGTTGTCTAATTAGGCATAATAGCAATAATATTTTCAGTAAACTGATAGTGAAAAACCCTCAATCAGTCAGCAGGTTATTGGTAGTTGGAATATTGCTAGCCGGATGTGGACAGTGTGGTTGACAAGGTATAAAATGGGTGTTTTCATAAGCCGTACAATTGCCATGATTGTTCTACAAATTGAAAACAAGTATGGCGATTATGTAGGTAATTTTTTTAATTTAATTATTTCTGTAGTTTTGTAATCAGAGTTCAGCTTTAATTAAGTCTGAGAATGTTTTGTGAACTCGGGGCCAGATTTGATGTTATCGCTTGTATACATATTTTCTTACTATAAAGTAAAAGGATCAAACAAAAGTTACATGAACTTACAAAAACATCCTTTCCTTCATATTACATGAAATCCTTTCAAGATATTTTTTGCCAGTTGTTGTTGTTATTGCTTGTCTATATATTTGCCATAGACATTGTTATTGTTACTTGTTTATATATTTCCCATAGACATTGTTATTGTTACTTGTCTATATATAGACACCTGGTGTTGCTTGTCTATAATATATATTTCTTTGCCATATAAATTTATTGTTATTGCCCGACTAAATATTGGTCTTAGACATTTGTTTTCGCTTGTCTATAGACATTTGTTATAGATGCTTGTCTTATATTTGCTTGAGAATACTCTTTGAAAAACAAAACAAGTAACTTTCTTGAAGATTTGATAAAAAATATCACATCATTACTAGAGGGAGGTCTTTCATTCAAATATCACATCATTAATACTAGAGGGGAGGGGCTTTCATTCAAATATCACAACATTACTTAAAAACAATAACATGTTGGAGGGAGGCAGTCTTTCATTCGAATACTTGTCAATAAATAGAAAACTTTTATTATTTGAAAAGTCCAGTCACAAATTTTTACAAGAACGATTGGCATTCTAAATGCCATTATTTTCACTAACATAACGAACAGTGATTTCTACCATTCTCTACTAAAAACTGTGATTTCAATAAAAATATATCTTTTAAAGAAAGTTTACTTACCAGGATGATCCAAACTTTAATTCAGAAATAAGAAATTAATATATGTTGACTATAATATATCCACTTTCTTCTTTTGAGACTAAATGCATGCAGCAAACTGTCGATTCATCTAAATCTTGGATTAGCTCTGATATTTTGAGACTAAATGCATGCAGCAAACTGTCGATTCACCTAAATCTTGGATTAGCTCTGATCTTTTGAGACTAAACGCATGCAGCAAACTGTCAATTCTTGGATTAGCTCTGATCTTTTGAGACTAAATGCATGCAGTCAACCGTCAGTTTCACTTGAGAGAGTCTTGGCTCAAGTTTTACAATGTTATCCAATTCGTTCATTTAAATAAATACATCCAGTGAGTGATTTAATTTACATGTAGCTAACGTAGTGATTAGAAAAAATTATTCTGCATGCAAAGTTCATTCTGGTGTCTTGGCACAGTTCATTCTTTTGTCTTGGCAGCAGTCAGAGTCCATCTTTTTGTCTTCGCAGTGTTCATTTTTTGTCAGAAGACTTGCATACTCCTTACAGAGATTCTTTCTTGTGTTCAAATTACTCTAAACAGATTTCCGTGTCCTAACAGACTGCATTCTTGTGTGTGATTAAATACGTGCAAAATTTGTTCGAAAAACTCTTAGATATAATGAAATTAAATAAAATGAAATAGTCTTTAACGTCCTATTGTTCTGCTCCGGGAAATTTTGTCCGGACAGCAGCTCTACAGCCTACTCTTATATCGAATTCCAACTGCCAATGGATCTTTTACGTACACGCCAATTTGTACATGGGGCCTAGGTTTTTAGTCCCATCCGAAATTCTAGACAGCTGTCCTGCACCACTGACAAGGGGAAACCACATCAGAAAATCCCTATGAACTTTCTCGCCCAACCTTAGATATAATGAACATGGACATAAGAAAGTATAGTAACTATAACATTAACAAATCTTGGAAATGTTTTAAAGAGGTGTAAGGCTCTCTTGGAAGAGGGGGATCTCGAAATATGCACTAATATGTGTGCATGCAAATTCGAGTCAAATTCTTTCACAAGTAGACAGACAGAGAGAGAGAAATGGGGTTTGACGTCCACTCGACACAAACCAGGTCACTTCGGAATTAAACCTTATTTCAATAATTTGCTTGCGCATAGGGGTCTTTTAGCAGTGGAAGGAAACCTGAGGACATGAGAAAACCCATGAGGTTGGACAGGCAACCCTACTTCTTGTCATGTACAAGCGGGGACTTGAAACCACATCACTTGACTCAATGAGTCAATGACAGATCTTATGATGCAACGCTCATGCATTAACCATCCAGCCACCCAATCCCTCCTTTCACAAGTAAGTTGTTGTCATTTTAAAACCCGACAACAACAATAATACTGGGTCTTTGCAGGAGGTTATACCCTAGGACAAAAGGTGTGCATATACGCATCTACTACATTTGCCGCTGTTTCGGTTACTTCATTTAGTGCATATATATCATCAGCCTTAACATGAGGTAAATGGAGTTATAAAATAAGACATTTTACAAGGAGAGAGAGAGAGAAATGGGGTTTAACGTCCACTCGACACAAACTAGGTCATTTCGGGACTAACATATGGTTTAATTTTATTTCAATAATTCGCTTGCACGTAGGGGTCTTTAGCAGTGGAAGGAAACTGGAGGACCTGGAGAAAACCCACGAGGTTGGACAGGTGACCCTACTCCTTGTCACGTACAACCGGGGATTCGAAACCACGCCAGTTGACTCAAAGACAGGTCTTATGATACAGCACGCACGTGCTAACCATTCGGCCATCCAACCCCCCTATTTTACAACGGCAGTATAACTATGGGATGCTTGAAAAATCCCTAAGCTTCTTTTTGGCCAAAGGACAGATAAAGAGCTGGGACATTCGAGTCGTGTATCAAAAACCCTGACAACATGACTGCTACATTCACATTTTGAAATAAAACATAATAAAACTTACTGATTTGCCGAATTCTTCTGTTTACGGATATTTTTACACCAATTCTTAAACGTTTTCTGTAATCTGTGATTATTAAAAAATCATTAAATATTACAATCTGATTAAAACACAGATCCTATTTTGTTTCGTTTTTATAGTTCTAAATTTCGTTTTACTACAACGCTGGTTGATTAATAAATGTCTGACAGCATAGGGTCAAAAGCCACTCACACCCTCTGACGTCACCTCATCTTAAATTACAACCGGTCAGATCTTCATGTAGTGTAGGCCATCGAAAGTATAAAAAAAAAAAAAAAAAATATTTTACCTGAATTTAACGAAGATATTTAAGAGATGTATTTGATAGAAATGTCGTCGTTCCCACATCCACCATAAAGCTGGTGTATTCGATGATTCATCCTGCATATCTCCACTACCTTGTATACACTGAAAATATCAATACAAATTATCTCCCTTGAAAATATCAATAGAAAATATCTCCTGTGTATACACTGAAAATATCAATACAAATGATCTCCCTTGAATACACTGAAAATATCAATACAAATTATCTCACTTGTATACACTAAAAATACAGTGTGCTACAATGGCTAGATCTATGTAATAAGGCCAACGTCAAGTTTAGTCAAAGGTCACGAGATGTAAACAGGGATAGCACTAATCCCAACCCTAGCCCTAACCCCTAGATCTAACGTTTACCCTAAGACTAACCTACAATCTCGCCAACAATCACGTGCCCTAACCTTATTTACATCTTAGCGACCTTGACAAATATTGAGTTGGCCTTAACAAATAGATCTAGCCATGCAACAACTGTCCACTCGACACAAAACAGGTCATTTCGGGACTAACATATGGTTCAATTTTTTTATATCAATAATCCACTTGCACATAGGGGTCTTTAGCTGTGGGAGGAAACCGGAGGACCCAGAGAAAAAACCACGAGGTTGGACAGGCGACCGGGGAATCAAAACGATGCCAGTTGACTCAATGACAGACCGTATGATACAACGCACACCCCCTAACCATTCGGCCATCCAACCCCTCAGAATTTCATAGGACTTACCATAGTAATAAATGAAGCACTTATTGTCCAGTAGATTTTGTGTAATCGGGCTTCGTTAGGCGAGACAACTTGAAGGTCATAGGGGTCGTATTTTGCTCTAGGGTCGTGACGATTTCGCGGTAAACAATAAAGAAAGTCACCACTGTCTTCTTGTATAGCTGTTAGTTTATCCTGGCAAAAGAAAAAAAAATACACACTTAGTTGTACAAAAGGAAGAGTGAGAGAGAGAGAGAAATCGAGTTTAACGTCCACTCCACACAAACTAGGTCATTTCGGAACTAACACATGGTTCAATTTTATTTCACTAATTCGCTTGCGCGTAGGGGTCTTTAGCAGTGGGAGAAACTGGAGGACCCGGAGAAAACCCATGTGGTTGGACAGGCGACCCTACTCCTTGTCACGTACAACAGAGGAATCGAAACCCCGCCAGTTGACTCAATGACAGACCATTTGATACAGTGCGCGTGTGCTAACCATTCGGCCATCCAACCCCCCTGTACAAAAGGAGATATGATTTTATATTTGACTAGCTTGGCATAATGACATTCACGTCGCAGGCCCTTTAGTTGAGCCATGGCACAAAACATTGACCAATTTTTTGTACAAAAAGCTTAGCATAATGACATTCACGAGATTGCTGAGCAATGGCACAAAACATTGACCAATTTTTCATTACATTCCCAGCACACTGTCTCAGCCATTTACTATCATAGTTTTTTGAATACAGAAGTTATATTGAAGCATAGTTGTGTTTCAATTATTTTATACTTATGTGTCTCATTTAGTCAGAGTCAGTCATATAAATTGTTTTGGTTCTTATTTAGATCCACATCAACATCGTGATATAAAACAGTTTTATTTTTTTTTTCTACATCGTCAGGACTAAAAATATGAATTATTTATTTTATTCTGTTGTTTTCTTGGTAAATATTGACATGGTTATGAATCGTTGTATGAATCGTATTGTTGTACCTGAATTGCAAAACGTATCGTATTGCGACTACAGTGGAAATACCCAGCACTATTTGGCATTACTAAATGGACAAAATCAGAAGAATTCAGTTCTTGGTTTAGTTGAAATTGAAAATAGTCAAATTTTTGTATTAAAATGAGTAAAAATTGTATATAATGATAGAACGTTTGCTTACTATTTTTTCGACAGGAATGGCGACTATTTTCTCCATGATATTTTTACAACCTGGAGCATGTCGTGGTATGTCTGTAATCCAACCCAACTCCTCCCTCATTCGCTTGATGTGGTATAAAGCCTCATCATTTTCTGGAACTGGAGGGGAACAGATAAATTGTGAAAAAATAATATTAAATTCTAATAAATTATATTAAAGGAGCACTCCCAGACATCACAGTATCCCATGTATACCAAAAGTCAAATTTGAATTTGTTTCCACAGATACAAAAGCAGAAAAATTATTAAATCCGAGAAATTCCTTATTAACAAAAAGAGAAATGGGGTTTAACATCCACTCAACACAAACTAGTCCATTTCGGGACTAACATATCGTTCCATTTTATTTCAATAGTTAGCTTTCGCGTAGGGGTCTTTAGCAGTGGGAGGAAACTGGAGGACCCAGAGAAAACCGATGAGGTTGGATAGGTGACCTGAATCCTTGTCACGTACAACCGGGGAATCAAAACCATGCCAGTTGATACAATGGTACAACGTGCACACGCTTACAGTTTGGCCATCCAACCCCACAAAAATTGTCCAAAGAACAAGCATGTTATGCTCCATGTCAACAATATTTAAATAGGTAGATCCGTAGGCTTTTTTCAAAGCTTGCTACCAAGAAGACGACCAAGAAGAACCCAGTTCATGGTCCAAAAATAATATTAGTAAATACGGTACTAACCCTTGTCGTCATATTTATTCCTCTTCAAATAATTTGGTATAATTTTCTGATTTGGATCAACTTTTAGTAGATTAGACACTGATATTTCTCGATGTCTCTCTTTTGGAGCACTGACGGATCTCTTTTCCAAGCTCTGCGATTTCACCTCTGATATTTTCCCTTCAGATTTTGATTTTAGTTTTTCGAGGATGGGCATCTCTCCTGGATATTTTACCAAACCATCAGTTAAATCATCCCAGGTTTTCACTGATTCTGTATCGTAATGTTTACTTGGTGTAACACTTGGTTCAACAAAACTCACACGTTCTTGCACTTTTGCTGAACCTGAATAAGAGAAAAATTAAAATTTGGAAGTGCAGAATGAAAGAAAGCGTTAATTTTAAATTAACTTCTAATGTTGATTTTTTTAAATAAACTGGTAGAGGGGAGGCACAGACGACATATTGGGAATAGCAGACTGGGATGCAGCCAGGGGCCCCAGTATTAAATTAGTTCCAAAAAATGTTTTATTTATAATTTTTTATGATTTTTATTTATCATGTTGTACATTTGTCTGCCAAATAAATTGGTAGATGAGATATATGGGGAATAGCAGACTGGGCTGCAGCCAGGGGCCCCAGTATTAAATTAGTTCCAAAAAATGTTTTATTTATAATTTTTTATGATTTTTATTTATCATGTTGTACATTTGTCTGCCAAATAAATTGGTAGATGAGATATATGGGGAATAGCAGACTGGGCTGCAGCCAGGGGCCCCAGTATTAAATTAGTTCGGAAAAATGTTTTATTTATAATTTTATGATTTTATTTATCATGTTGTATATTTGTGTGCCAAAAATATCTATGTACCATACTGACATACAAATTGTATTTCCCCATCAGTGGTCTCATTCCGTTCTACTCCACTACCCTCTGGCTTAATCTATTTGTGTGAGTGAGATGGACAATGACCAGAATATTCCCCCCTTTTCACTGATGAAGCAAGGTCACTAGAGGCATTTTAATTAAGCTATTTTAATATAAAAGAGAGAGAGAGAGAAATGGGGTTTAACGTCCACTCGACACAAACTAGGTCATAGGGACTAACATATGGTTTAATTCCATTTCAATAAATCGCTTGCGCATAGGGGTCTTTAGCAGTGGGAGGAAACCGGAGGACCCGGAGAAAACCAACGAGGTTGGACAGGCGACCCTACTCCTTGTCACGTACAACCGGGGAATTTTAAAGGCTCAATACCACTCTTGTTGTAACTGAATAATATGTCCCAATCTTTATTCTGGTCAACAAATTGTACTATTTTACAATATTCCAATTAATTGATGATACAAATTTCATCTTAACACACCTAATTTTAAAATTTTGAAAAATTCAACATAATGGTTTGAAACGTCTAACGTAAACCTTTTCAAATGAAACTTCAATTTAAAAATATTTTCGAACCCTCTGGACAAGTAAAATAGGATTTAATGGATAATTTACACAACAGGTAGGACACTAACACATCTAGTACTTAGAATAAGGCTATTTTTTATTTTCTGGAGCTGTCAAGCCAGCAAGAGTGTTATTGTCCCTTTAATATAAAAGCTTACGGAGCCACAGTAGTTAAGTGGGTAAAAAGCTGGCGTGCTAGTCTGGAGGTGGCGTGTTCGATCCCTGCATTAGCCGAGAAAGTTCATCAAGTTTTTCAGGTGGGATTTCCCCTTGTCAGTGATGCAGGACGGAGTGCCTGACAAGGACAGCTTTCTAATCGTTTGGATGGGATGAAATCCTAAGGTCCCGTGTATACATTGGCATGCACATAAAAGATCCCTTAGCAGTTGGAATTCCATATACTGGTAGGCCATAGTGCCGCTGGCAGTCAAAATGTCCCTCATAGCACACTGTAGTGCCGCTGTTCGAACAAATTTCCCTCATAGCACACTGTATGGAGTGTGCCCGTCTTCATTAGCCCAGTCGGAGCAGAACTGTAGGACATTAAACCCTATTCATTTCATTTTAAAAAACCTTTACAGACCTGCTGAGCGTAAAACGGATCTAGTTGGTGGCGTTGCTGGTGGTATGGGTGTAAGTTGTTTCAAGACGTTTGTAGTGTCTGGTCGTGGTGTCGTGTTCGCACTCCCAGATCTAGATCCAGACTCGGATCCAAACGTAACAACATCTACTCCAGTTATCTCGGCGTCAGTTTGTCTGATATTTGGTTCTCCGGATTTCTTTTTTCTGAAATACAAAGGATGGAAATTTTGACATTGAAATAAAGCCGCTGATTGAGATTTGAAAGATTTTGAATTCCTAACAAACAACAATATATTGCCTGTCCAACCTCGTGGGTGTTCTCCGGGTCTTCCGGTTTCCTCTCACTGCTAAAGAACCCTACGCATCAGCGAATTAATAAAATTGAACCATATGTTAATCCCAAAATGACGTGGTTTGTGTCGAGTGGATGTTAAACAATGTTCTCCCCCCCCCCCCCTCTCTCTCCCAACATATTGCGCACCTCGGGTCTCTGAATATTAGACCAAAAAAGGTTCAATTCTGTTCCACAATTACAAATTTTGCAACAGAAAAACAAATAATGTAAGACTTAGATAAAGAACTAGTCATTCTTGCTATAATTGTTCCAAAACAGATAATTCAAAATTAACATATTGAAAATTTCATTCTGATTACTTTATTCTGAGTGACGTTATCACTGTTTGAAGTTTCGACTTAAGTAACCTGTCACTCTTAATATTGAAAATTTCATTCATATTACATTTTTCTGAGCGCAGTTATCACTGTTTGAAGTTTTAACTTAAAGGGACTATCCCGATTAGAACAGAGTCTCAAAAATTAAAGTCTGAGTACGTATGAAATTTAAGCACCAAAATATATAGGAATGGTGTATTGACCTTGTCTCAAAATTTCAGCTCAAAATGTTGAGTCGTTTGAACGTGAACGCCAAAACTGCTTATCTGGACACGTAACCCTTTTAAGATTTGGGGTCAATTTTTCGTTGGGTGACCTGATAATCGATTCCCATTTCTTGAGAGGTCTATACAGTGAATGACCCATGTGCTGTACTTGATAACGGACGGTAAATTTCACCTACACATTATTTTTATTAAAAAAAAAGGTCTGGTTTTATCTAGACACCGTATAATACAGTTTGAGACACTGGTCTCCATTTCCAGATGAAGACAGACGGATTTAAGTTATATGCAAACGTATCGCAAATATTGAGTTACTTGCTCGGCTCGTAGGTAGAGGGTTTAAGGCATTTTAACACAAAATTAAGCAGTTTTATTCTCCAAAAAATTATCGGGATTGGCCCTTTAAGTAACCTGTCACTCTTAATTACTGGTATCCATGTCACACATTATCCATAGGTACACAAAAACACTCTGACGATGGTCTGCCAGTTGACGTCATGAGTTAGAACATAAATGTTCAGACTTTTAAAGATGCATTATGTAAGATTTAAGCTGGCAGTTTTTACTATAATAGTTAAACAATAGTCAGATCTTACATGCTGCATCTTTAAACTGTGTTTTTACTTACAATCTGGTGGCTCTAAGATAATTCTCTGGTGTGGTTATTTCCGGGGTTGGTTTTAGTTCCTGTTGTCGACGGTTGTAATCCTTTTTGAACATTGTTGTTTTAAATACAGGTGCAGCTGCTGGATCCTTTTTACCAGATGGGGGACGAGGTCTAATCTGATCTTCCTAGAAATACATACAACAACAAGATTCTTTAACAAGAGAGAGAGAAATGGGGTTTAACATATAAGAGTGGGTTGTAGCGCTTCTGTCCGGGCAAAATTTCACTCATAGCGCACTGTATGGCGCATGCCCATCTTCATTATCCCAGTCGGAACAAAACAGTAGGATGTTAAACCCCATTTCATTTCATTACACCACATTACTCAATGACGGATTTAAAGCACACACATTACAGACCACCAGTCCATGTACGGCACTGAATATCCAGTAAAATCTAGAACTATCTCTTGGCGTGTGGTGTACCGAACTGTGGGTATCCCACTAGAACCATCAATGCTGACTAGTCAATCAGATGTCTGGGGTCACAGGGACAAAATTTGGTCATATGACCACTGACGCGACCATGGAAAGCATAAAAAACAAAACAAAATATAGATCTGTATTTCAATCAGATTGGGATCGATTACAGATCTTATGATCTAAAGCACATCCATCTCAACTAGTAAAATCTGGGACTATATCTTTGAAAGCAGTCGTTCTTGTTTGAATTTTAGAGGAGAGCCAAAAAAGCTCCCCTTAATGAACAAATTGAAAAAAATTGCACCCCAACAAAAATGTGCCAGTTTCGATAAGAAGAGTGATTTAGAAATTAAGGAGAGTGATCTGATATTAATGGTACTGAAGGTCAATAACTGCATGTTAGGGGGTCATTCCTAGTTTCATAAATGATAATAAACCCCCCAATCCCCATGACTTTGAAAGCAGAGTAGAAAGGTAGAAAAAACCTCTTGTTGGTCGACATTCAGGTGAGCAGCAGGCGCTCGAGAGTGATCGCTCGCCTTAAAAGGTAAAAAAGGTTAAATTATTACACCTACCCCAATATTAGGTAACGGTTGTCTGTTTGACTTATATCTTGCATTTCTCAAAACTCGAGATTTCTCGGGACAATCATACAATCTTTGTTTCAGCTCTTCAGCTATATTTCGTGATCCATGAGGAAAGTTGGTCGATTTTGGTCGATCACAGAGGCCATTATCTTTAATTGGTGTCGACACATATCCATACGACACAGACGATAAATGAAACCTAGTCGATTTTCCTTGTGGCGCTGATGAACGGAATTCATTTTCTAAAACATCAATTTCAGCCAAATCTTGATTGATGACAGTTGATTCTGAATATTGACTAAGGTGACTTATTCTTGATTCTCCTCTACCCTCCGACATGATGCTGGATTTTATGTTGTTCTCTCACCATATGGACCTCATAAATCACAATTTATTTGTTAATTTTAAGTCATTTCATCTTGTGTTCTTGAAAAATTTTAACTGTAAAATAAAATTTTATTATAAAATAAACCAAAGACTTATTGTACACTTACCACTTTGGAAAAAAAAACTATTTCCAATTCGCCGCAAATTGACATTGATCAGAAAAATATTCAAATTAAATCATAAAATATCACAATTAGAAATGATTAAGCAAATTAGGTTTAGAACCAACCAAAGGCTGCAAAATCAATACATGTCCGCAACAATATTAGTTTGGCCATATAATATGCAATATTCACAGACATGAAAATTTGGGTTTAAATCTAGGCTACAAGTACAGTTAGTTAGTTAACAAAAATGCTACTTTTATTCAATAACTATAATCTAACCCCTTCTGGGCTTCCCGTTTTGTAGATTTCGGTGGACAGGTAGGATGAGATTTTTTGAATATACACCGATTTACATTTATCTTATTAATCTCTGCATCATCAGTCATCATTCACTAGTAGGCCCTACTAGTACTACTTACTTAGTGCTCAAAAGGTGACTAGCTATATATAGCTAGTCACACTAAATATATATATATATATACTATAGGTCATTTTCTGGACTAATAAAAGGAAGTGGATAAACGACCGGATTCGGTTCCTGACGAAAATTTACTACGAAACCAGATATCGTCTCTGATTGGCCAATTTTATCACGTGGTTATTAGTGGTCTTTTTCAATATGGCTGCCTCTACAGGCATCCTTGTTGGTGCTGAATTTACGACTCTAAATTCACTTTTAGAGGCGTTGAAACAATTTGAATTTAAGAATAAAGTGACATATTGGCAAAGAGATACGCTGACATTAGAAAATGCAAGAAAGCGAGGGTTAGAACCGAACCTATCGCGATAGAATAACCATGTGATGAAATTGGCCAATCAGAGACGATATCTTGTTTCGTGGTAAATTTTCGTAAGGAATCAAATCCGATCGTTTAGCTACTTCCCTAATAAAAAGTACACAGGCCTTTACTATTTTACATTACTTAATTTACAATAATATAATTATATACAAACAATTTGTTAAGCTAAATCAGATGACATTCAGTTGTATTAACACATTTACGACTTCGGTGAAGGACTTGACTGAGTAGACTCCGACTGTGGAATAATTTATATTTTAAATTACAAAACAAAAATAAAAACAATTAAAATCGAGTGTTCATTTAGAGAAATCCAACAGTTTAGTTTATTCTCGAGGTGTTATAAATCTAGACTAATATAATTACAAACAATTTTCAGTATTTTCTAGGCTGTTCATCAGATAACAACAACACTATTACCTTATAAATAATTCATTTGCAGAATTCACAGTATGGAAGCCGCCATTGTAGTTTACCTTAGCAATACCCACAATGCACTTGGTTATGTCCAAAAGACGTACGGGCACCTGCTCTGAAAAGAAATTACGATACGTTTGATTTTTGTCGATAATAGATACAACAATCGTTTAAACATACTAATGGATAGTGACGGAAATTTCCTCTGTATAGATTCTCTAATTTAAAATTTAAAAGAAGATAGGGGAATAAATAATATTAACAACGAAACCTTATTATGTCAAAAAATTATAATGCTCAGCCAGACATACTGAACAGGGTAGGGCGAAACATTTAAATTTAAGTGTAAATTCAGCTTTATGGTTTATTATAATATTCGAATAGAGCCAATCGAAATGAAATGAAATAAAATGAAATTGGGTTTAACGTCCTACTGTTTTGTGCTCCGATTTGGCTAATGAAGACGGGCATACGCCAGTGTGCTATTACTGTAGTGTATTAGGGAAATTTTGCCGAGACGGGACCCTCGATTTTTCGTCCCATCCGAACGACTAGACAGCTGTCCTTGTCAAGCTCTCCGTCCTGCATCACTGACAAGGGGGAACCACGCCGGAAAATCTGGATGAACTTTCTTGGCCAATATGCAGGGATCGAACACCCAATCTAAATTAAGAACATTTCTGAATTAAAACACGCTCAAATTTATGAGGATATAGCTGTTTTCTATTCTATTTATACTGATAGGTGTTCTGTAAATATTGAGTTATTTTTCAGAGGAGGGGGGGGGGCACGTCGGTGGCTCAGTGGGTATTTGCCTACATTGGCTCGCTAACCTGGAGGTCCCGTGTTCGATCCCTGTGTTGACCGAGACACTTCATTGGGATTTTCCGTCGTGGTCCCCCCTTGCCAGTTGTGCAGCGTATAGTTGTTCGGATGGAACGAAAAACAGAGGCCACGTGTACACATTGGCGTGCTCGTAAAAGATCCCTTAACAATTCGAAATAAGAGTAGACCACAGTAGTAACGCACTGTGTGGCATATGCCCGTTTTCGTTATCCCAGTCGGAACACGTTAATGATCCCTTGGCAGTTGGAATTCGATATAAGAGTGGGCTGTAGCGCCGCTGCACGGACAAAATTTCCCCCCTAGCACACTGTATGGCGTATGCCCGTCTTCAGTAGGGACAAAAGTTGGACGTTAATCAGGGATAATCCCAAATTCATTTTCAGAGGTTTTCACGTGGGGATGAAAAGAACACTTTGGTTTCGTTTAGAACTTTATACTGCCATGCATTAATTGTGAGGTCGACTGATAAATCACATTAGCATATATATTTTTGTATATTATGTGGAAGTGGGCTAATAATAGAAAGATGCACTGGTTTAGGATACTTCTAATTTTGTATATGAATAAGAGAGAGAGAGAGAGAGAGAGAGAGAGAGCGGAGGAATAAATAGGGTTTAATGTCCACTCAACAACGAACACAAACAATCGTGACAAATATTATGATTTTATTAACAACAAAACAATTGCGGGAAGATTCTTCATTTGAAGTACAGTCCCAACCTGGAGTACAGTTCAGACTATGGGATAACTGGCGGTAGTGGCAATACCACAGTTGTTATTCCTGTTTCTAGACATCATTATATAACCACCCAATGACCCCCAACGGCTACCATAACTAAAATACGAAAATTTAACAGAATAAAAATTTTAAAAAATACTGAAAGTTCTCTTGTTAATTCTTGTTAATTCTCAACAGTTGAAATAAGAATAAGGGGCAGTGCCGCTGTCTTCCTCCGAAAATTAAATTCTAAAACATTTTTTTTATGTATTAGAAAAATAAATAAAGACGTTTGAAGTATTTGTAGGTAAATACTATTTCCTATTTTAGGGTAAATAGGTATTAAAATGAGTAAAAGGCGCCATTCTGCTCGAATCTGTAACGTCTTATGTAAACAATGCACGCGTCATTGATCCAATGATTGACGCCGCGTGATATGACGTCATTTGTTGAAAGCAGTCTTTTTTTTACAGAGATATTAGAAGATTTTCATTATACTCTGTGAAACAGATTGACCAGTAGTATTTAGAAACTGTTACAGCTGATTCCGATTACTGCTCGCTACACTTATTTATTAAAAATCAATCCTGATTATCTCCCTTATTAAATTTTTGACGTTTTCACTCATGACGACAAACTGCCGACAATCCCGACAGAGGACGACCATCGTCTAGACCGGTCGTATAGCGTGTTTTTTGTAAACCAATATATTTTTTTTCATTTTATGCGAGGCCTGGGACTGTACATCGCAGTGGACACTTACGACTGGTCCCCGGATCCATTCATTTGATTTGATATTAATTTATTTCTTGT